TAATTGAAAAGCAGTTAGTTATTAAACCTAAAACTAAAATGCCACAGGTGAGTTTTCTCCTGGAGAAGAGCTTCTGTCGGGCACTAACAGAACTACAGCTACGTAGAATGCGGTGTTAACCGTCCCTTCATCTGTCCAGGGCTGGCTAGCCTTGTCCTTGCTCAATTCTCATAACAGCAAGTGAAGTTTCATTCTTTTTTTGTTGTAAACTTGAAAATCACTACATAATAGAGGAAGATAAAAGATGCCATTATGTCTCCTCCCACTCCCCATCCCAAAAGAATTTGAAATAGAAAGGATTTTTTTCTATGATGGTGAATATGGGCCTTTTCTCACTGCCTAATTTCAGTCTGTAATATTAAACATAGAAGCTTCCTTTTCCTTTTCTTTCAAAGGTCTTTGGTTTACTTGCTTTGTTCCTCACACGTGTCTTTAAATTACACATGGTATGTGCTTAAATAGTAATAAGTGAGCATAATGGAATTCACTTCTTCGGAGAGGTAACGGTGGCCCGAAAATGGCAGGAAAAGATGGAATAGCTCTCAGAAGCTCACCTTACCTGAAATGTAGATATAGATGCTACTAATACTTACTTACTTTGAACACAGAGTTGTAGAATTTTCTAATGTTAGAACCAGAATGTGTTACAGGGTCTTGGAGCGCATTGGTTCTCAAACTTCAGTGTGCATTAGAATTATCTGAAGAACTTGCTAAAATACAGAATGCTGAGCCAACCCCCTCCCCCAAGCTTCTGTTTGAGTAAGTCTGAGGTGGTCCTGAGAGTTTGCATTTTTAAGAGGCCGATGCTGCTTGCCGACCTCACACTTTGAGGACAGCTGTAGCAGAGGAAGGGACTGCTGACCACTTGGACATTCTCTCAGAGCGTACTCGGGTTTTTAGTGTACCCAGGAGAGCTCAGGCGCCATGAGCCACACTGTCCCAACCCAAGAAATGTGGATAACCCAGAATCCCCACCTATGCTGGCCACCACATGGACCAGATACTCAGGATGACAGGACATGGCCTCTTCCACCTGATACTTTGATGGGAGACCCTGACAAATTCTTGTTCTCTGAGCTCCTTTTTAAAATTAGACTAATAAGGAAGTGTTTTTCAGTTCTCATTGCTTTTTTTGTTATTACTGTTTTTTGGTTTTGATTTTATTTGAGTTCCAACTTGTTTCCCTGAGGCGACTCTCAAGTATGCTTATCCCTGTATTTATAAACTGTAGGTTAGGGTTGCTTGCTAACCATATCCATTATTTATTTCCTTCTCATCAGTAATCTTAATTCCACCTTTTGAGTACAGGTTTTTATACTTAGTCCCATATACAAATTATAAAAACAATTTAAGGGTCTTTTACTCCAACTGACTTTATTTTACAGATGAGGAAACTGAGGCAACCACATAACTCCCCATGTTACACTACTTAGCAGAAAAGCTTGGATTAGCCCACTTCTTCCCCCACCCCCATTAAGTCCGAAACTGCTGAGCTCAGTTACCATGGGTGGATGAGGGATGAGTCAACGTGAATGAAAGACTACATGGAATTTTTTTAAGTACATGTTTTGAAACCATGCTTACTTGTAAATCCCTTTCACTTAGCAGCTGTGTTTTTTAACTGCCCTGAACATCAGCTTCCAAATCTGTAAAATGAGGGATAATAACACCTGCCTTCAGGGCTGATTGTTTCTCAACTCTTCCTGCCTTTCCTCTTAAAGTCGCCTTCTAGGGTTTAGCTGCTAACAAATAACCAGAACCAGCCTTTAAGTCCTTACTTTTCATTCCTTAACTCCTCATGCCCCAGGCCACTTGAGTTCCGCAGAACCTTACTGTTCGTTCTCCTGGAACAGTTTTCTTGAAAGTCCTAATGAGCAACTGATTTTTTTTCCCAGACATGTTTTCAAGCTTCAGCCCGTTATCTTTTCTACCAGTGTCGGCACCCCAGACCTCCTCTGCTTTTCATTCTTCTTCCTCTGCTACTTTTCACCAGCCTCCATCTCCTTCACAGATTCTCCTTCACAGATTCTCCTTTCCTCACCACCTCAAATCACCTCTTTTCTCAGGGAACTGTTTCTGCCTTTTTTTCTTTTCTTTCATATACTGTGCTCCTTCCCTAGGCAGTTCTAGCACTCCCATAGTATTATTTATGCACATGTCTTTGTATGATCACCAGTTCTACATCTCATTCTGACCCCTCTTCTGAGTGCTAGCTGTCTGCCGCATTTCCCCATGCCATCTGGTCCACTGATAATTTCAAACCAAGTTTATTTGAAACTGAGCTCAGTTCTTCTTCCCCAGCCTCAATAGACTTTCTCTCTTGTGTTCTTCATGTTTATACTTGCTAAAATGTATATGGAAAGACAAAGGACTCAGATTATCCAAAGCAATCTCAAAACAGAAAAAGTTGGTAAAGTTATACTACCTAATTTCATGATTTACTATAAAGATAAAATAGTAAGACGTTGTGTTTCTGGCATAAAAATTAACTAATAGATCAGTGGAACAGAACAGAGAGCCCAGAAATAGACCCATGCTTTATACTCATGTAATTTTTAACAGAGGTGCCAAAGCAATCCATAGAAGAAGAGTCTTTTGTGCACATAGTGCTGAATAATAAGGTATCCATATAGAAAAGCAAAATGAACCGTAGCCCCTGCCTTCTACTGTGAAGAAGTTATTTTGACATAGATCATATATTTAGAAGTAAAAACTAAAATTATACAGATTTTACTGGAAAAAATTAGAGAATATCTTTTATAACCACTTGGGAGTAGGTGAGGATTTCTTAGAAAGGTCACAAAGAATAAATACCATTCAAAAATGATAAATTAGACTTCATCAAAATTTTAAAACTACATCAAAAACGCAATTAAGAAAACGTACAGGCAACAGGCAAGGAAAAAAAAATATTTGCAAAACATACCTGACAAAGGACTTTTATCCAGGATATGTAAAAAAAATTCCTATAACTCATCCATAAAAAGATACCTAACCCAATTTTTCTAAATAGGCAAAATATTTGAAGATAATTCACAAATGAAGATGCACAAATGACCAAAAAGAACATGAGTCAACATCATTAGTCATCATAGAAGTGCAAATTAAAATCTTAATGAGATGCTACTATGTATCCACTGGAATGGCCAAAATTTGAAAGAGTGACAACACCACATGTTGGCAGGGCTGTGGAGCAACCGACCTCCCCGGAAATATTCTTGGCAATAAAAATTGGGGTGACCACTTTGGAAAACTGGCACTTTTTTCTAAAATTAAACATCCACTGGGGCACCTGGTGGCCCAGTCAGTTAAGCATCCGACTTTGGCTCAGGTCATGATCTCACAGTTTGTGAGTTTGAGCCCCACATTGGGCTCTGTGCTGCCAGCTCAGAGCTCGGGGGCTGCTTTGGATTCTGTGTCTCCCTCTCTCTCTGCCCCTCCCCTGCTCGTGCTGTCTCACGCTCGCTCTCTCGCTCTCTCTCAAAAATAAATAAAAACATTAATAAAATTTGTTTAATTAAACATCTACCTACTCTGTGACCCAACAATTCCATTCTGAGGTATTTATTCAAAAGAAATTAAAACATAGGTCACAAAAAGACCAGGACAATGTTTAATTTATATAATAGCTGAAAACTGGAAAGAGTCCAGGTCTGTCAATAGGAGAATGGGTAAACAAACTTTGATATATTTATGTCATGAAATACTATTCAACCATATTAAAGCAATAGATTACTGGTTAATGTAAAAAAAGTATGCTAACTAAAAAATATCTTACACAAAGAAGTACATATGGTAGCTCCATGTGAAATTGCAAAACAGGCAAAACTCGTCTTCATTGGGGAAAAAAAAAATGTCATAATAGTGGTTGCCTTGAGGGTGATGGGGTGGGGATAGACTGTTGTAAGGAATTTGTGAGACTTAGGGGCTAAACAAGGAAAAAGATCTCATTGGGCAGGGTTGCATCAGAAAGGAAGCCCCTCATAACATGCGACTGTCTTGAGGTTTGGGGCCTAAAGACCACCAACCAGAAAGAGAGGAGGGCAAAGGAGCTCCTGAGGTGGCGGAGACCATAGAGTGTCTCTGGGGATTCCTTGTCCAGGGATGCAGGTCCCTGGTGCAGCAGGGAATCTCTGGGTCAGAGAACTCTGAAGGGAAGTCTTAGAGTCTTAGAATCATTAGACTCTATCTTACCAAGGCTAGCCGGTATTGGGTGTAGTTACGTGGCATATGCAAAGCAGGCAAGCTACAAGTGGCTAAGACTCTGCTTGTTTGGACTATTTTTTAAATAATCAAGTGTATAAAAATTTCAGTTTGGTGCCAGTAGACTTTTGAGCTGATGGGTCTCAGCCTGCAGTGAAGAAATAAACAACCCAAAAGCCAATACCTAGAAGCCATCTTCAGTTAATACATAAAACATCTGAGAAGGTACAAGAGGAAATATTTTGGTGTGATGATAATGTTCTCATCTTGGTAAGGTTTAGACTATACAGGTGAATACATTTGTCAGCACTCAGTGAATATACACCTAAGGTTTGTGCATTTCATTGTGCATTCATGTTTTTTAAATTGTTAGTAAATGTGGAACCCTAGTCAGTGACCTCCATGCCAGAGTATTTAAGGGGAGACATACTGCTGTGTTCAGTTAACACTGAAAGGCCAAAAATGGAACGGATTATTAAACAGATAGAAGGATGGGTAGTTCGATGGATGCATGATAAAGCAGGTGCAGTAAATTTTCATGGTAGAATCTAGGTTGGGGGTATATTATACAACTTACACTTTGCTTTATGTTTGAAAAATTTTCATAATGAAATGTAAAAGACCACTGTGTTAGAGAGAGACTGAGGGACCAGTTAGGAAACTATGTCATGGCATTAAAAAGATACAGAGAGCTTTATTTATTTATTTTTTGTGACAACCAGAAGCTATAATTTTATAGAACTCCATCCTTTATTTGATCATTTGACTAAAGATCTGTGGTGTTTGATCTGTGACAGGGAAAGCCCTTCTGCCAGCGTGGACACGTGTACATTTCTCTCATCGTTCGTGTGCTCCAGTAGGACCTTGCTAATTGATGGCCGGGTAGAACTCAAAAGAGGCCTGCAGAGACAGGAGCGGCATCTTTTCCTGTTCAATGATCTGTTTGTTGTGGCCAAAATCAAGTAAGTACACCGTGAGCTCTCTCCCAGTTACCCTTATACAATTGCATTCCCACTAACAGGGTAGCCTTTCCGTCCAGTGCTTACTGTAAAGAATGTCTGGCTTCTGTTACCAGAGCTAATATTTGAAGTAACTTTTATGTTTTTTTTGTTTTATTTTTGCAAAGAAAAAGTTTCGGTTGTTTATTCATTCAACCAGTGTTCATTTTAGGCCCCACTCAGTGCCATGTTCTGAACACATACAGGGAATACGGTGAAGAATGGGACAGGTATGGTCCCTGCGTTTTTGGCGCTTTTGTTCTAATATGTGGAGGAGTTGCAGATTGTGGTTAGTGCTGTGAAGAAAACAGGGTGCTGGGTGACGTAAAATACAGGATATATGTTGGTAGGTACAGTCGGGGGCAAAATCATCTAGGGCTGAAAAGCAACCAGCCATTCGGGTGGTAGAAGGAGGAGCATTCTGGGAGAGGCAAGAGCAGGGGGTGGGAAGAGCTTGGCCCCCTGTCGGAGCTAAAGAAAAGCTGAGCATAATGGGCAGGAGACTGTGAACGGAGATTGGAGAAATCGATGAGGACCAGGTTATCGGGACCCTCTTGGGCTGTATTCATGATCTATTCCCATGTAACAAGTGACCCAAAACCTGTTTATACCTGTACACGTCTCGGACTCAGGAAGACTCACGTCATCCTTAGCACTCTCCTACTGAGGAGGGGCTTGGCTGGTGGTTCTGGCTCAAAGTCCCGTTGAGGTCGCAGTCAAGCTGTTGACCAGGCTAGAATCATCTGGCATCCTGATGGCAGCTGGCGAATCCACTTCCCCCCTCGCTCGTGTGGACGCTGGCAGGCCTCAGTTCCTCCCTGGCTGTTGGCCAGACTCTGCAGGTTCTGGCCACGTGGGTGTCTCCCCAGGGCTGCTCGTAACAGGGTATCTCTTCCTTCAAAGGCGGGCAGGACACAGTGTAAGCAAGCACGTGAGAGAACACCCAAACTAGAAGCCACGGTCTTTCATAACCCGATCCTGGAAGTGGTGTGCTGTCATTTCTGACGTGCTGTTGGCCATACAGACCCACGGGAGTGCAGCATGGAAGATACCCGTGCGACGGTGTGGATGCCAGGAAGCCAGGATCACTGGCGGCCTCTCGGAGGCCAGCTGCAACAGCGGCTGTGATAAGGAGTTTGGGTTTATTCTAAGGGATTTCAGTTAGAGGAGTTCATATTTTTAAGCTATTGTTTCTGAAAGGGCACCTGGGTGGCTCAGTCAGTTAAGCATCCGACTCTCGGTTTAGCTCAGGTCATGATTTGTGAGTTGGAGCCCCGTGTCGGGCTCCACACTGGCAGTGTGGAGCCTGCTTGGGATGTATTCTCTCTCTCTATCTGTCTCTCCCCCTCTCTCCCTCCCTCCTTCTCTCCCTCTCTCTCTCTAGAAATAAATAAACTTAATTTAAAAAAAAAAAAAAAAAAAGATCTTGTTTCTGGCTGTGATAGGTAACGGGTTAGAGGGTAAGCCTGAGAAGAGAAGCAAGCAGACTGGACAGGAGGTTATAATAGTCCTGATGAAACGTAGTGACGGTTTATGTGGGGAAGTGGCACTTAAATGAAGGATACACACATACTTGGAATGTATGTCACAGGTAGCCAGAAGAATTGACTTTCTGCTCAATACTCAGTGCCCCTGCGACCTGGTGGTTGCTCCTTGCTCCATCCTCCATTCTCATTGTTTACCGAACCTAATAAAAGATCAGAGTGTTTCAGTAAATCCAGTAACATTAACAAGATTTTAGTCACCAGAGAACAGTAAATACTTTTTTCTACTATTGTCACTCGCACACCTAAGTTACGCCATGTCGTAAAGAAGACGTGGACAAGGCTCAATACTAATTTTGCAAAGCAGTGTATTTAGTCTGAGTGGTGCTAACAACAATAGAGACCTCACATTTATTTGGATCTTATTGTATAATAGGGATTTTTCTAGAGACTTTAACCTGTATAACTGTTCTGTCAGGCAGAGGCTATTTTTTTCTTTTTAAAGAAGAAATTGATACTCAGAGAAGTTAAGTGACTTCAGCAAGATCACAGTTAGTAATTAGTTGAGCCCACATTTGAACCTAGGTCTGTGCTTTTTTTTTTTGTTTTGTTTTGTTTTGTTTTTTTAAGTAGGCTCCACATCCAGCATGGAACCTAATGCACAGCTCACACCCACAAACCTGAGATCTAAACCCGAGTTTTGAATCAGACACTTAACCGACTGAGCCACCCAGATGCCCCCAGAGTGCTTTTAACCAGTATGTGTTCTGCTGTCTCGCTAGAATGCTTAGTGAACCATTGATATTTTCTTTTGAAAGTTAGAGGCAAGGATAAAGATAAGAAAACTGTTTCGGAATGTGCTTCAGAATGTATTTTTTTATTATTACGGGAAGAACACTTAACAGGAAATCCTCTTAACAAATGTTTAAGTGTACAAGACAGTATTGTTAACTAATAGGCACAGTGTTGTATAGCAGATCTCTAGAATGTATTCATCTTGCATAATTGAAACTTTATACTTGTCAATTAGCAAAACTCTTCATTTTCTCTCTCCCCTCAGCCCTTGGCAACCAACATTCCTCTCTGATTCTATGGGTTTGACTATTTTATATACCTCATGTAAGTGGCATCACACAGTACTTGTACTTCTGTGACTGGTTTATTTCATTAGCATAATGTCCGCTAGGTTAATGCGCATTGTTGCATATTGCAGGATTTCCTTCTTTTTAAAGTCTGCTGAATAATATTCCATTGTATGTATATACCACATTTTCTTTATCCATTCATTTACCAGTGGACATTTAGGCTCTTTCCACACCTTGGCTATTGTAAATAGTGCAGCACTGAACATGAGTGTTAATATTTCTTCAACATCTTGATTTCACTTCTTTGATAAATACCTAGAAGTGGGATTTCTGGATCTGCTTTTATTTTTTTTTTGAGGAACCTCCATACTGTTTTCCATAGTGGCCGCGCTATTTTACATTCCCACCAACAATGCACAAGGGTTGGAGTGTCTCCGTGTCCTTACCGACACTCGTCTTTTTGTCGTTTTCGTTTGTTTTGTTTTTTTGGTTTCTTTTTTTTAAATAAAAGCCCTCCTGACCAGCAGTAGCTCAGGTCTTAACAAAATTAGTAACGTTGAAATCTTACCACATATTTTTTATGATGACAGAGCAATGAAACTCAAAATTAGCAAAGCTTAAAACATATTTTGAATACAAGTAATGCCTACAGATGTTGTTTTGGAAGTGGATTTGTTGTTATAGATAGCAATATAGCAGTATAGAGAAAGGAAAGTCTGTCCATGGAAGCCTCTGTATTAGGTCCATTTGAAGCTATGTGCTGTCAAATGAGGAACAAATCATTATTTTTTTAATGTACATTAGTTGCCGTTTCGTTACATAAAATGTATTGGATGGGTTCTGTATGCTAGATACTATAACAGAGTCACAAAGATCTTATTACATTTTCCTAACAATCCTGCAAGATAAGAGTTGTTTTAGGTCATAAATACTGAGACTCAGGGGGGTTTGTCCCAAAGTCATGTAACAGGAGTTGTGGTGGACTGGGATTTTAATCTAGGCCTTACTTCCAGTGGGTGGCCCTTTGTACTGTTCCCCATTTTACTCATTATGTGCATGGTTTTGTGCTCAGCCTGCAGAGAGATAAGCAAACAACAAAAACCTATTACAGTAATCCATTTCCTATACTTTAGGATCTTAGAGACTATTTACTTATAGCACGTATTCAGTTCTTGTGAAGGAAAGTATTTTCCTTCACCTTTTTTGGATGTTTTTTCCTCAACAATTATGATAATATTTAGAGTAGAAGACTTGTTTTCTTACCTTGTCAATTACTGTTCTGGTTATTGCTAATGTAGACATTATGTGGTTTTAGGTAACCTATATAGTGTTTTGCTGAAAAAATTTTTATATAGTTTCTTTACCACTAGAAAATTGCTGTTTTAAATATACTGCCAAATCTGTGCCCATCATCTACTTGTATAGCTGATTTTTTATTTTGATTGTCCCTTTCTCGCATAAGATATACACCATGTTTTTTCACCTACTGCTTTTGGGATACCTGTTTGTGTCTACCTAAATGTTTTTATTAAGTGACAAAATCTAGTAACAGTTGATTTAATTCTGTTTTTATTTAAGAGAGTCAATTCATGAAAGATTATTTTAAGTACTTTCTACATTTATTGAGGATATTAAAAAGTGTGAGTGATCGAAGTTAACTTGGGGCGAGGGGCATGAGCCCAAGACCCTTGCCATAGAGAGGACATACGGATTTGAGAAGATAATCATGATTTGTGAATACTGCCACCTTGCAGAAATTCTGACCACAATTTATCATTATATGGTCATTCTCGTAGATAACAATTGATATATTCACAGATCCTTCTTAATAAGAACTTAATACTTTTTCCTGAAATAAACGGCAACCAAGAAGAACCAGCCCCTGTAATACCAGATCTCTGCCACTTTTTACCCTGTGACAGAAGATGGGGTTATACCCTCAATCAATTCATTTGTTGAAATGATAGGAGTTACTTAGTGCTTAGTAAACAAATTCACTACCTCAAGTTCAATACTACTTCAGCTCATCTTCAGGCTCCATTTGGGAACTGCTTTCAGCCCTTAGGTTGATGCTGTAGAAATAAGTTCAGGTGGGGTAACTAGTTGACCAGCTGTTCCATATTTATTTATATTTATTTAGTGAAACTAAGTGATTTTAGTGAATGCAATAATACAAATCATTTTTAATTTTTGTACTTTTACTGGCTAAGGTATTTTATTCACTTTATGCTGAATGTTGACAATGTTTACCTAAAATTACCTTGAGTTTGTGGTCGTTCTTTTCCATACTCAATTAGAACAAGTATTAAAACTGAATGGGACCTTAGGGACTACTTTCATATTCCTTCAAAAGCTAAATAAAAAGCTATTTTTCTGATAGAATTATGGCTTTCCATCTTTTAAGACAGTGCTTAAAAACTTTAAAGTATTTAGAAGGAAGTTAATATTCCATTAATAACTATAGAGCAGCCATTTGGAATTTACTAAAAGGAAGTGACTAGGTACTTTGTACCTTCCTAAGCCATAGCTTTTCTCATATTAATTTCCTATATAAATAGGGAAATAATGATGTGTTCTATTTAGGTCACAAAGATGATGAGGAAAAAAATTTCTGATCATGTATTCATTATCAGTAGAATTATCATCAGATTCTTGTGGAATATACCATGTTCTCTACCCCAAAGCGTATTTAGTAAAACATCTCCATCTTAGACTGGAGGGGCATCTCCCTAGAATCCTGTGTATTTCAGCAGTTTACTGGCATTCCTTCTAGTACAAAGACTGGAGCATAGAAAAACAAGGACATACATTTCTCATCTTAATAAATTTGTAGTAAGGGACTACACTGTGGAAATAAAGAATTGCTTTTTGGGTTGTTACTTTGTAAATTTTATTAGAATAGTCTAATACTATTGGAAATTGAGAGTGAAAATTTTGAAGAAACACACTATGACCCCAGAACTATCCATCTTAATATAAAAATTTTATTTAATACAGGTTTTAAATATTTTGAAACTACTCCATTTATCTTTGCAGACATGAGTGGGTATGAGATTCCTCTCCACCTCTGTAGTGACAGTCCCATCAGAAAACCATGGAGGTACAGAGAGATAAAAAACAGGCTGAAGATAGAAAAGCTGAAGGGAACTTCATGGTAAAATACTTGCATCCAGATGCTTTATTTATAAGACTGACAACATCCAGGGCTTTTTATAAATACATAGTTAAGAGCATTAAATTAGCTAGGAAGTCAACACTGCTCAAGTTCAGATTCTAGCTACGCTAGTTAAGCTGTGTGACTTTTGGCAAGTTACTTAGCTAAATCTCTCCATAACTCCTTTTCCTTATCTGTAAACTGTCTGAGGATTAAACTAATAATATGTGTAAAGTGTTTACCACAATGACTGGATGGCAAATGGGAAATTCTCAGTAAATAATAGCTAGTAGAATGGAAGTGATTGTTTACACTTTTAGGCAACTTCTTATTTTTTGTATCAGAAGGTAGGTAATCTTGGCACTTTATTGATTTAGGGGAAAAAAATCATCGCAATGACTTTTCTTCAGGGCCGTAAATGTGAACAGCTCCCACCTGGTATCTGAAGTATCTGATATAGAGAGAGACCTGCATTAGAAAACACAAACTGTGTGACAAGAGATACGGAAACATACCTTTCTTTGAAAAACATGTGTACTTTCAGTTTTAGATTACCTAAATAGTCGCTCTCAAAAAATAATATTTTTTAAAAAGGAAATAAAATTTTATCTTCAGTGTCTGTTTGATTTTTAAAAATCCAGAGTTTTGGGGACTGCCTGGGTGGCTCGGTTGCTTAAGCGTCCGACTTCGGCTCAGGTCATGATCTCACGGTTCGTGAGTTCAAGCCCTGCGTCGGGCTCTGTGCTGACAGCTCAGAGCCTGGAGCCTGCTTCGGATTCTGTGTCTTCCTCTCTGTCTCTGCCCCACCCCCGCTCGCACTCTGTCTCTCAAAAATAAATAATTGTTAAAAAAAATTTTTTTAATCCAAAGATTTGTAGCAACGGGATGAAAAAAAATATTGAAATGAAATATAGAAAAACGCTATTATGCCACAAGGTGCTTTTCTGTTACACTTACAGTGAGTGTGCCCCACAGGAAGTATAAATGAAGCTTTGAATCTAGGTTATCCTTCATGCGTAGTTCCTGCAAGATCCTTTTTCATTTCATAAATCCGACTGAAGAGTTTTGGCTTTAAATATTCCATGGAGGAGTTTTAGGAATACTGCCATATGAAGTGTCTTTGATTTCATGTCAGTTTTTTTGTTTCCACAAATGGCTCTGAGTGATAGGAAGTGTCCAAGTTTCCCTAAGCATTCTCTTTATCTTTCCCAGTGCCTAAGTCTCAGGTCCATTATGAGCATGAAATCTGTGAATTTAGGTCAAGAGATAATGGTGGTTTCAATATTAGGTTCTAAGGAAGATTAGGTAGAAATTGTCAAAAAGTGATTTCAATGCTAACTTAAAGTAGATTATCTTCTGGGTCCTTGGAGATAAATATTAATTGTGTTAACTCCACTTAAGTGTAGTACTTCCTGCCTTTTTTTTTTTCTAGTTTAGTTAAGGGTCTGTTTTTAGCTAGAGTTTTTCAATTTTAGCCAGAATACAAGGGGAAATGATACGAACAAACTTTTAAGAAAGGAAATTTAGGGGCACCTGAGTGGTTCAGTTGGTTGAGTATCCAACTCTTGACTTCAGCTCCGTCCTTGATCCCAGGGTCGTGGAATCGAGCCCCATGTTGGGCTCTGCGCTGTGCATGGGGCTTGCTTGCGATTCTCTCTCTGTCTCCCCTGCTGCCTCTCTCCCCTGCTCATTCTCTTGCTCTCTAAAAGAAAAAAAATTTTTTTAATTTTTTAATGTTTATTCTTTTTTGAGAGACACAGAGCTTGAGTGAGAGAGGGTTAGATAGAGAGAGGGAGACAGAATCTAAAGCAGGTTCTAGGCTCTGAGCGGTCAGCACAGAGCCCAATACTGGGCTTGAACTCCAGAACCACGATATCATGACCTCAGCTGAAGTCAGACACCTAACTGACTGAGCCACCCAGGCATCCCAGAAAAAACATTTGTTTTAAAGAAATTTAACTAACCTTTGCTTGTAAAGACTAGAAAAACTGTAACCATTCAGTTGGAAATATGCTGAAAATTCCTCTAATTCCAGATTATAATTTTTATGTGCATCTCTCTCTCTTAAGGTGAAAATTTTATAAATATTTTAATAAGTAACGTGTATTTTAACCTTTTGTTCACTCAAATCTTTTTGGAAGTAAGGAAGTTATAAATAATAAGTGCATTAATTTTTTAGTACAGCAGTAAATTTAAAATTAGATTTTTGATCCAAATGTAATGCTCAACTTAGAAAAAAAATACAGATATTTTATGGCCGTTTGCTGCCCATAAATGCAGGCATAAGGACTAATACAACACAGGTTTCCAGAGCCTTTGGGGTCACAGGTAACCAGCCATCTTACAGTCTCCTGCTGTAGGCACTGAAGTTACAAACAGTGAATAAGACACTCTTTGCCTATGATTAGTGGAAACTGTCCTCTCGTCACAAGTACAGGAGCTCTCATAAAATTTAGGAAACAAAACAACAAGAAGTCCTGTGTGGTTTTTATCTTTCTAGATATAACAACAACTTTAAGATAAAAAATAAAATTAAATTAAGTGACATGTGGACAGCAAGCTGTGTGGACGAAGTGGGAGAAGGCAACACCAATGCCCTGAAATCGTTTGTCTTGGGCTGGCCCACGGTGAACTTCGTGGCCACTTTCAGGTAAGAACCATAGCGTCTGCTGTATTTACATGTTAAATGCAGTCAACTAGGTAATTTCTAGGATGAAAAAGAAAAAGTTAATCCAATTTTGTTCTATTGATTTTTCAAAGGGAAATATTTTATTCTGATTTATTCTGAAGTCATCTTTTGACATGCCCCCAGTAAAGACACTCATATGCCTTGTGTTTCTCCCCAAGAGCTTCTTATTAAAATATGTGGAGAGTAATGGTAAATAGTGAGAACACTGGAGTCCTCTATCTTGGTTTGACCAGTGATTTTTAGAGGGGCTCTGCTGAAAGACCTCGGGGCTGTGGGAGAGGAATAGAGGCTCACGCAGAGACCGCACTCTCCAACCTCCCCTTTGCTCGTGTTCAGGTATTGTTTTACATAGTGAGCTTTTGACTTGATCATTTCAACCCACTGAAATAGACTTTTACTGAAAAATTGTATAGAATCGTCCAGTTAAGCTTGAATAACTTTTATACTCCCAGATTTTCTAACGAAATAGTTTTTAATGATAGAAATAAAATTAATGTTGTGAAACAATGGGGGTACCTGAACTGTACAATCAGGTTCTGGTTTGGCATAGAGATGTGACAATCAAAAATGAATTCACGACCCAAGAAGTAAAAGTTAGTTTCCTAAGACTCACCCTGTGACTGGGATGGGGATGGAGAATGTATAAATAGAGAATCTTTGTACTCTTAACCCGAACGTGCCACATTGGCACTTCTCAGGTCCAGGTGAGCAAACCAAACCTCACACCTGTGATTTTGAACAGCTGCACCCTCACGTCCGGTATTTGTTTTACACTTAAAGAATTGGGCTCATCACATGCACATGTTTTTCTCTTGGTCTCTTCTCTCCCCTCTACCACCAGACACGTCAGGTATCATCCTAAAGCCAGATAACTCAAAATTTCCAAGCTGTTAATCTTCTAATAAAAAACAGGCATGTCATTAAGTTCTATTATGCATTATTGGCCTACCACAAGATTTTAAGAACTTACTTGGAAGAAACATGTGTATATCATTGTCTGCATATCTTCTTTTCCATGACAGATTTCTCTAGATAGTATCATTTTCCGTTGCCTAATCTCCTTGGAGTTACAAGTGAAAGGAAGGGATTTCTAGAGAGGGACAAGACTACATGAGGTCTTTAATTAAGAGGTTTTTATGAAACTTGTTATAAGAAGAAGTACAGATGTATAAACAAGTTTTACATATGTTGTATTCTTCAAAAAGTATAGTACCTTACCCAGAAAGATTAAGGTTAACATGACTAATGATATCATGTGCCCCTTGATAGAATGTGATGAGAAGAGCAGGTCACCGTTGTATTATCCTCGTCAAAACCCATAGTCCCAGTCCAAGCATGAGATGAACATCAAACAAGCCCAGATTGAAGGATATTCTGTAGGTTAAGCTGACCAGCACTCCTCCAGATTATCACAGCAAAAAACAAAAACAAACCAAAAAAAAACAAAACAGGAAAAGACCTAGAAACTGTCATAGACCAGTCACTAAGGAGATGTGATAACTAAATGCAATGTGTTATCCTGGTTTGGGTCCCAGAACAGAAAAAGGACATTAATGGAAAAACTGGTAAAATCTGAATAGTCAAGAACTTAGTTAATAGTAATGTACCAGTAATAGTTTCTTAGTTTGACAAGTGTGCCATGATAATATAAGAGGATAACTTTAGGAAACTGAAACTGGTGAGAGGTATACAAGGACCCTCTGTACTATCGTAGCAACTTTTCTGAAAGTCTAAACTTATTTCAAGTTTAAAATAGTATTTAAAATTTAAAAAAGTTGTGTTGACGAGTTTTGTCCCTGATACAGCAGACAGAGTGAGGTCTTAATAGACTGACCACCATACAGATAACAACTCTAAACTCTGAATAAAATACAGACAACAACCACCTAAAGGGTCTGGAAAGTGAACAAAAGTTGGCAGATTTTAGAGAGGAATTGAAACTTGGAAGGCGGCACCAGCATTGGGTGAGTTTCCTATGTTTAAGGCATTGGCCTAAGGGCAGGCTACAGTCATGTCATGGTGCAGGGCAACTAAACTGACAGAAACCCCCAGTCTTTCTGGCTGAACAACCAGAGTAAGAGCCTGAGTCAGCCACAGCCACAAGATCGTGAGGGAAGGAGTCTCAAAAAGGATGGTATCAGAGAAGGGAAGGCTCAAATATGCGGACAGACTCTACCTACCCAAGTCTCTGACTGATTGCTGAACCAACATGCATGGAAGAGACTCAAAACAGCTTGAATCTGAGGATCAAAGAATGGAACCAAGGTTCTGTTCACCACAAGTAAGATGGAATTTGCAGCTTCAGTCTAATCATGTTAGTTACCTATTAATAACAAAAACACCAATACTCTTTTGCAAATATAACAGCACTCAGAGTCTCTAAAACAAAATATTCATAATGTCTAGAATACAGTATAAAATTTCTTGACATACAAAGAATCAGAAAAGGGAAAAGATAACCAATAGAGGCCAATCCTGAGATGATCCTTATGTTGGAATTACCCAAAAAAAACTTTAAAGCAACTTTTATATTGTGCTCTCTAGGTAAAAGGAAAAAAGCCAAGTGAAATGAATGAAAAGATTTCTCAACAGCGAAAGAGAAAATATAAAAAAGAGCCAAATTAAAATTTTAGAACTGAAAACCGCAATATCTTAAATTAATAGTTACAGAACAGAAATAAAAGGGGAAAGAGTCCGTGAATTTGAGGATACATTGATACAAATTGTCCAATGTGCAGAACAGAGAAAACGAAGACATTTTTTAACGAAAAATGCACCAGAAACTTGTTAGAAAATACCAGAAGATATAACACACATGTAATTGGAACTCCGGAAAAGGAGAGAAGGGAAATGGGACTGAACAAATAGTTGAAGAAATAATGGTTTGGAAACATCCCAAATTTTGTGAAAGATACAAATGTACAGAATCATTGAACCCCAAACAGGAATAGGAAGGGAATTTCACTTAGTTATGTTATATAGACAAACTGCTATAAACCAAAGATGAGAGGAAATCTTAATAGCAGCCAGAGAAAAACAGCACATTACATTTAGGGGAGCAGTGATTTGCACCACTGTGGTTTTTTCATCAGAAACTTGGGCAATTTCAGAAGACAGTGGAATAGAAATGGAAAACTCTCAAACTAGAATACTATGTCCAGCAAAAATATCCTTCAGAAATGAAGGTAAAATAGAGATTTTTTTTAACTCTAAAAATTTATTCCAGCAGAACTTTGTTCCAAAAAAAAAAATGCTGACAGAAGTTTTCAGCCCAAAGTGAAATGATATTGGAGGGAAGCTTGGATCTTTAGGAAGGGTTGAAGAATGCCAGAAACGGTATATATCAAATAAATATTAAGAAAAATCTAGGTCATGATCAGTTTAAAATACCATCAGGCTAGCAGCTCAAGAAGCAGTGTCTCCTAGCCAGTCACTATAACGTCTGTAAAGAAATCAGAAGGTAAAGACTGATAGTTTTGAAATCAGTGAGGAATTCCCAGTTGTGTCAAGTTAGGGGAAGAGCCAACACTGAACTTTTCATGCTTTACCTTAGGAAACAGAGTACATCATCACATCTCAAAAAAGACCAGAAGGAATTTCCTATCTCTTGTACCCTGATCCTCAAACCTAGGATCTATATCTACCAGAAAAACAGGTACCGTGCCTTGATATTACAGATAACTACACAGTAATGAGAACATTATTCAAAAGACACAGGAAGTACTTAAATCTGACATGGATCTGTCAGAAGAATCAGAGGAAGAATATTTTAACTTAAGCACCTAGTATGGATCTCAGTCTATAAACTCAGGTAGTCAAGAAAAGCCTGTTTATTTATAGATCAAATTAAAACTCACCCTGAGCCTCCATTTGCCAGACTGTTAGGAAATCAAATTTTCTTCTTTACTGGAACCCTGTTTTCTTAGAGTAGAACCAGAATGCAGGAGGTTTCTGTGATGTCTTCCAAACAGATGAAAGGTTTTGACGTTTGGTCTGTTGTGGTCACTGCTGACATTATCTTTTTCTGTGCCCAGAGTTGTCCTTTACATTCAGAGATGCTCTGACTCCTTGCCGCGTGTGGGATGCAGCTGTTTTCACGGATATAAAAACTTAGGAACAGGCCTCCCCAGTTACTGCCAGCAGTCATTTCCTGTGGGGTCTTTCTCTTTCCTGAGGCACCTCAACCAAATAACATCCGGGTCCCTGTGCACTCTCAAGGATAACAGAGTCTGTCCCCTCCCAAACTTGAGAGGATCTGTCCAGGCTGCCCTGCCATTTCTCCTTCTCTAAGATATAATTCTTTTCTCCTCTTCTTGCTCTTATCACATGAGCTTAGGTGTTTGTGAAACTCTGAGATAACTTTGTTCTTATTTCTGTAGAAGTGCCAGAGATTAAAAATCACTGAAGAAAGAGAAGGTCTGAATTCTTACACAGGCTAGGTGAAGGGGAAAACACAGGAATACTATATAAATCAATCTCAGTGAGTTAACTTGCATACTTCATAAACTGTTCATTTTTGAAGTAATTCATGCTGTATATTCAAACAATGGAACGCAATACAGCAGTGAGAATGAATGTTCTAAGAACAGTAATATACCTAAGTCTCATAAACATAATGTGGAAGGAAAGAAGCCAGACACAAAATAGTACATATTGTTTGGTTACATTTATAATAGAGAAAACAAAACTATCCAGTTCTGTTAGAAGTTAGCCGCACACAGAGTCTTCCCGAGGTTTCGTAATCTGAATTTCAATCACACAGGTGTGTTCACTTTGTAAAAAATTTTCAAGCTGTACACTTAAGCATTATATAGTTTTTTCTGTGCCTTTCACGTCAATAAAAAATTAAAAGTTAACAAAAAATACCAAGTGTTTTAAAGGGGCAATTTTCTTTAACTGCTTTGAGAAAAGTTCACAGGTCTAAGGAAAACTCACCTGTTTTTCAACACAGTTTTTTGTAAATAAGTCTAAGATTTGACACAAATGAACATAGAAAATGTTCTGTTTAAGAAAGGTGAATACATCAAAAGGTTGTAAAGAATTGTGGGAGATGGAAATTGTATGGTCAGTGGTAAAAGAGATGTCATACACTTTCTGATAACTGATCTTAGGAGGTTGCGGGTGGAGAAAATTGCTAAGCAACAGAGTTAGAAACAAATTACAAATATTTGTTAAGTGTATTTTTCTGGAACAGAAGAACTAGGGTTTCCAAGTTTGTTAAGAAGATTAGAAATATGACTTTACAAGATAGTGAGTAACAAGACCATATAGAAACAAACATTGAATTATTTCTTAGCTTAAGAATTAAGCTAAGCAGTAACTTCAGAAAAATTATTAATAACGATTTAGTTGTAAACTAATTGATCTTAGAAGATTATAGTAATTAAGGATACGTTTTATGAGAACCAGTTTGCTAAATTATGCTGTTTACATGTATAAATACTTCTTTTCCTGACAGGAAACTGGTTTCTGGCCCAAGATATGTCCATCAATATGCCAAATTTCTCTTTAATTGAGCATACTTTATATTTGTGTAACAATTAAAGCTGCAAAAACACTCTGAGACAACTAGCCCCGTTTTACAGATGTGGAAACAAGCTTAGAGATGAGAAGTGATTTGCTCGTGATCAGATAGCTTGTGTATGTTTTTGACCAGCCAGGTGTTTGGATTCCAGATCAAATTAGACTTATACTTGCAAAAAAGCCATAAAGTGGAAAGTGGGCCTGTGTTGGATCTACTCAAGAGGTTTTAGTAAAACTGAACTCGACCGTACAGTTTTTCCTGGTGGGGATTTTCCGGCTGAGGACTCCCCAGAACGCAGCTCTGTCAGAGTTGTGGGAGTATGTGGCTGCCCCAGCGACAGGCCACTGATAGTTCGTCTGGAACAACAGTCTCAGATATGTTAGCATAAATGTGTTGTGTGTTTAATTTTTCTCTCCTATTTTCTTTGATTGCAGTTCTCCAGAACAAAAGGACAAATGGCTCTCTCTCCTTCAGAGGTATTGTTTCCATGTGCATAATTTTTAATCTTTAACTTGTAGTTAAAGGAATTAAATTCTTCTCCACAGAGATATACCCCAAGCTATTCCCCTTTTTCTTAGTAGAAATTATTCATTTGTCCTCAAAATAAACTATTGTGTGAACTGTACACCAGCTACTACTTACTGTAAATAATCTCTTCATTACATGTATTCCTTACTTCCTAGGAGGGAGAACTGAGGTCTGGTTAGATCATTCTAGACAGAAATTAGTCCATAATCTCTCGCATCTCCCGAGCCTACCATTTGGAGCTAACAGTTTCCTCAAAGCGTGTATTAAGTTTCCAAATACGGGGGGTTCTCTGAGCCTGAGAAATTGAGTTCTCAGAACTCAATTAGGATCTCCACCTTTGAGCATACAGACGAAAAATGGTCAACTTGAGGTTCATCTCTTATTTCTATAACCCTTCCCTCCCTTCTCCCCTCTCTGCCTTCCTAAGGGAAGATATACACTCAACAAGAGAGCTAAATGAGAATTAAAAGGCCACTGTCTTAGTTTGGTGCAGTAAGGTATTATATATGTTACTGTACTTGTCAGTAAGATTCCGGGCCTCTCCAGAGAAGGTAGGAAAACTTGGAAGATAAAACACCCAGAGGTGCCTAAACCTGACTGTGCTCCTCAAACCTCAAGTGAAATAGATCCCCCATTCGTTTTGTGCCTGTACCTAATGTCCTGAGAATTTTTTTTAATGATCTTTCAACCCATAATGCAATCAGATTCTGCCGAATCTTTCCATCTGTCTTTTAAAAAATAGCATATAAGTATACTGAAAATATTAGCAAAATAGATTGATTTTAAGATAAGCCATTAGCGAAATCCATCTGACTCAGTGTTGTTTTGGGTTGTCGTTGCTTTTGATTAGATACATCAATCTAGAGAAAGAGAAGGACTACCCGAAGACCATTCCCCTCAAAATCTTCGCCAAGGACGTTGGGAATTGTGCCTACGTAAGTGTTTCTAAGCCAGAAAATTAAATTCCAACTCCCTGCATAAAGCAGAGCACTGTGGATAAAACCAGAGACAGGCAAACAGACAGGCTATGTTTGTGCTATGGCAGGTAGGCATTTAGAAGTACCGTTGTGGGGAAAATGCATTTTTCTGGGTATATGTATGTCTTTGTATATGTGAAAAGTAAACCCTAGAGAAAGAGAAGCAAGAGAAATTCCTATTCGCAACAGTGTTTAACATTTACACTTGGAAAGAATATTGGTTGTCAGATGTCTCTTTCCTCCCTCTGACATTAATGTTTCTCTGGATCCTTTCAGTAGCAGCTGCAGCAGCTTGTAGTAAAGCCATTTCCACAAGGATGTATTTCCTATTAGTATTAAGCAATTTTTTCTAACCTGTCACTTCTTAAGTAGAAGGTGGTTTGAGTTTTTCATTCTCTGAGTTTTTAGGGATTGAATCCATTGGCTTAATAAATGTATGAGCTGGGAGAGATGACATTTTTAAGGGATCAGCATGTTCCTACCCCACAGTTTTTATCATATTGGTCAAATAAAAATTAAGTCTACTTATCCCTCGTTATTATGTAGAATTTGATGACTAAAAATAGAGAATAAATGCCAAGATGTTATCAACAACGAATAAAATGGACATTTGTGGATATTTTTATGACATTGTGCATTGCCATACTTCACAACAACTCTACATCACACTGGAAAAGGATGTAGTACAAGATAGTTATGCTTTGGCCAAAGGCCAATGTTATGCAAATGTTCTGACTTGAGTGCCAGATGTCACTGCTTGAGGGAAATACTCAAATTTTTAGGGTGTGAAACACAGAGATCTACTATAGCAAAGTAGCAAAAAACAAACAAAAACCCACCTTCTGCCGGTCTTGATTTAATTGTTGTGACAATTGGTTACATTCATGGAAAATCCCCTGCAATTTTTTTTTTTAACATTTTCAGTATATGGAAAGCATGTATTTGACAAAGGACCAGAGTCCCACTCTTTTTTGGAAGAGAAGACAGGAGATGTCAGGTTGGGTGCTCTGTGTTTATCAGCGGTACCCTGGTTAACTCAACAATGATATGACACACTATCCTTTGCTCTCTGAAGTTGCTTCATGGCAAGAGTCTGCTCTCAGGGAGGCCCGGCTTCCAGAAAGAGTGATTGCCACCAAAATAGGCATGCGTGTATGGAAAACATTCTTTATCCTCGGCCTTTAGTTATACACAAACAGTCAGTGAATTCTGCTAACGTGGGGGGGGGAAAATCCACATTTTCATTTTTGTCTGGTTTTTTTATTTGTTTATTAGCCAGAGAGGACTGTCTGCCGAAATTCATTTGTTTTGTCTGCCACAAAGGCATGCAAGGGAAAACACACATCTTACAATTACTGGGTTTTTTTTTTATAATTACTGTTTTGAACATATGTCTAATATTAAGAAAAATCATTATCTTAGAAACCAGGTACATTGGGAGATAGTATTACGGGATAGATTGTTCACTTTACAAAAGACTTCATGAGAGAATTTCTTTAAAATTTAATTTAAGGATGGGTTTTTGGACTGAAAATTTTTAAAGGCAGATGCCGTTCATGAAATTATATCTCAAGTTAAAGCCCAGTTTGTAAAACATCTGTGCCACTCCGGTAGAAGACAGACACTGGGATTGGTGCTCAAAGCCCTGCCTGTTGGGTTCTCAGACACTTTTGCATAATCCTTGGAGTTACAAGGAGCACAATTTGAAATCAATTAGGAAACAACTTTAAGAGGCAGTTTGTCATGTTGAGTAATTGGCTCATAGCGAAAGAAAAACACTGTAATGGAAGGATAAGTGGTGAGTTGTCAGTGGATTTCACTTTAGCATTATTTTTATATCATTTTTATTTTTATGGGATTTTGTTTCCATTTATACTACTTATTTGTACCGTTTAAGCCCTATGGGGGACACAGCCCTCATTGCTGATTCGTCTGATAATTATAACACATAAATCCTATGTGCATAGTAAATATTTCTTTTTTGATAGCATAGCATTGTCCTATATTTAAGTGTCTTGGAATTCTATGAACTCTATATAGATATCTCAAAATCTTGTTAATCCCTTTTCTGTTTGCTGCAAACTTTCTTTCTAAAGTAGTAACTTCTAAATGTAATTTAGCACAGAGCTATCCCGGATATCCTCTTCAGTAGCAGAGTTGATAACAGAATTGAGCTTTGTGAAATTTTCAGTTCTAGACCCACTGGTTTTAAGGCCTCTGCAGATTCCAACATTGGAAATCCCAGTAGCCACAGTGTTTGACATATAGAAGGTGCTTCAAAGAATAGTGGTTTTAAAAATTCTAAACTTGAAATGTCTTTGTGTAGCCAGTTTTTATTCTGATTTTACCTCCACTTTTTGCTATGTGGAGAAAATGACAGCGGGACCCACACCGTGTCAAACCCGCACTGCGGAGCCCACGCTCAGGACACAGTTCGAAGTGGCGCAGCGCTCTCCCTTCTTCGTGACGGGTTGTGTGAGGAACGCGATGCGTCGACCAACCTCTCTAGGTCCTTTTTTGTGGCTGGGAGGGTAGTCCATCTACTCTCTCTCATATGTAGTTAATCTTTTTCTTTCTAATGTTTAAGGCCTTCTGTTTGGTGAGCCCCGTATTCCTTATATTAAGAGAAATAGGTGTTTTATCAAAAGCCATAATATATAATGGAATAAAAGTAAATGAATATGAAGGGTTTGTTTTCTACTTAAGTCATGTGCTTTACGCTGTCAACACTTGAAATCGAGAGATGCCTTTGGGTAATCATTTCACAGTACTTACTTGTTCACCTGATTTAATACCCTTTATAACTATATTTCTCATTTCTTTTTTTTTTTTTTCTGCAGTCCAAAACTATAACAGTAAGGAATTCAGATACAGCAAATGAAGTTATCAACATGTCACTACCAATGCTAGGGATAACTGTAAGTTACTCTCCTACATACTGTTAGTGAAAAGCAAACTTTTTATTCTTTAGGTTCATATAAATATTATCCCTTTCATCATAAGACAGCTGATTACTGGTAATACCGAATTCATGTTTTGTCCCCCCCAAAATGGAGGAAATAAGGACAGGAAAGCCTTACTATTAGATGCTCCTCTTATACTGCCGTTGTAAAACTTACCTGAGCTGGAAAGCATAGTAAGATTAGACTGTACTGTTAGAATGATAATAATATGTGTTTTTATCGTATATGCTGTATACATATTCAGTTGGGGAGTTTTCTTGGTATAAGATTCTAATGAGTAAGTTCTAACCTCCTTCACATGTACGTGTCTCTCTACGACTGTTCTTCTCTTCTCTTCTTTCCTGGTTCTTCTCCTCTACCTAATTATTCTATTATCCCAAGATTCCATCAGTCTTAGGATGGTGAATTCTGAAGGATTTGCTCTGTAGTAGAATTTATACATGAAGAACACATAGCTAGAATCAATTTTCACTGACTGCAGATCCAGAAGATGAGTTGGCTGGTACCTCTAATGAATTGGTAAATTGAAAACCAAGCTTTGAGAGGGGCGTTAAGGAGGACACTTGTTGGGATGAGCACTGCATGTTGTAGTAAGGGGATGAAGCCCTGACTTCTACTCCTGAAATCATTATTGCACTTTATTCTAACTAACTTGGATGTAAATTTAAATAAATAAATAAATAAATAAATAAATAAATAAATAAATAAATAAATAAATAACTTTTAAAAACAACATCAAGCTTTGAATCAGATCCTGGATTTAAAGAGCTTTAGTGTGCATCCCGCATCTCCCCTCCATTTTACTTTTAGCTTCTGCTTTTTTCTGTTTTGCGGGGCAAAGGTGAGTTTTTGAAATTTAATTAATGGAGAAGATTGGCGTGTTTGAGGATGAGGTAGGGAGAACACTGGAAAATCCTCGTCCTCTCCGCCCTGCCAGTGCATAGACCGCATACCGTGGGCCTTGTGTTAACGGGAGTGACTTTCAGAGGGACGGACACTAGAGGAAGCACTTGAACAACACCACTTCTTGAGTAAGATTGTCTACGAACATGAAAGCGCGGTGTTACTGTGCTGCAGCATGCCAAACGTCTTAGATGTGTCACAGTCTTCTAAGCTGCATTTCAATTCACTTGGACACAATGCTATCCTATGCCCCTAGGCACTCAGAGAAATCACAATTTAGGGTAAGAGATCTCATTTATTTTAGTCACATTTAATAATATACTTAAGATATGATTAGATTTATGTGCACTGGGTAAAGCTGGCGCCTCTGCATTGATTTTTAAGCTCATGTGTTTATATCTTGGAATAGTTTAAGGGAAGGGAAAGGAGATTGATTAGTGACAGGATTCATTTTACTTATGCTTTTCCTTTGAGAAAAGTGATCCATGTCCTGAGACCAAAAATATTCCTATTCATTATAATTAGGAATGGAGGCAATTTGGTTATGCTCTTCTAATGGGTTATTGCATATTTTCAGATACTACAAAAAAAAAATAAAGGATTTTTATCAGATTGCCTGCCGTCCCTATTTGCAATAAAATTTTTTAAGTTGAGAATGGGGAAGGAAGTGACAAATAGGGTAGAGGAGGGGGCCAGAAGTAATTCTCCACATCCAGGACCCTCTATTATAAAGTCAGAACGTTGATTTTTAATCCAAAGATAAAGGCAAGAATATTGAATATTGCCAGTCTCTTCTAGCTTCATTTAGAACATTTGTCCTTTATCCTGTCCTAGAGGATGCAGCAAAGTCTATTGAATTTGGTATTATTTCCTTCAAGTGAGATTTTTAGTATTGCTGGGCTCTAATTCTGCCCGTGAACAATTTCTTTGTGTTCTATGACTGGGCCTATTCTCTAGAATTCTTGTCCTTTCTGTATCCAGGACTGGACTTGCCCAAAATAAAACCAGTGTAGACTGTGCCAGCCACCTATCTCCTCAAAGCCTCTTGGTCATTCTCCTTCTGCTCAGAAACTGCTGAGCTAATACAGTCAGCCCTTGAGATTTCACTTTTTCATCACAGACACAGCATTGTTGTGGCTTTCTGGATAACGAGGATGTCTTTGCAGGGGCATGTTGGAGATTAAGTCCAGTATTTTCTGAGAAGTCCAGAGGCATGGCAGAAGTCAGGACTCTAATGAAGAGATCAGCCTTTTAGAAAACTAGGACATTTCTTTCTGCTTTGTAAAGGGGCTTATAATTTTACGTTCTGTGGGCTACCCATAACCATAAGGGCCTTCTTCCATTGCAGTCTATGGATCGCTGGTCATCACTAGGAAGAGAGGACAGGACTGCTGAGTCCTCTGCCAGGGATGAGACAGGAATATGGATTGTAGGAATTAGCATTGCCATCTTCAAAAACTGTATTCACCCCCATGAACTTGAACAGCATTTATATTGTCCCCATTTTTTCTCCAAACATAAAAATCCACCCCCAAAATATGTCCTTATTCAGTTACCAAACGTGACAGAATTATTGTTAATATTTTTATCTCCAAGGGCTCTGAGAGAGATTACCAGCTTTGGGTCAATTCTGGCAAAGAAGAGGCACCATACCCACTTATTGGTAAGTTTCTTCAAATATCTAAGATAGGATTGTGTTTTAATTATAATTCTAAGTGTCTATGAGAACTGGTCATGGAGTCCTGAATTTAAGTGCCATCAAATATTATATCTCATATAATATTTATTCATTCATTCAGTAAATACCTATCAACCATTTTCTAAGGGCTAGGCAAATAGTGTCTCTTCACTCAAGCAGTTAATGGTGTAGGTGAGAAGAGAAATGTAAGTTTCTCTTTGTTTTTTTTTTTTTTTACTTTACAAACACCTATTTTGCAAACCTTTTTAAAATTTTTTCCATGAGAAAACAACATGTATTGGTATTCCTTTTCCCTATATATATTTTTCATCTTCAGTTCTTGAATTTCCTGTTCCCTTTCCTCCCTACTACATTGTCTCTGTGGAAGACCAGCTGTAATCCAGTCATGCCTCTTAGCTGATCAGTGAGTATTCAACACCTGCCCTAGGCATCCTAAAGAAAAGGAGAGTAAGCGAGCTACTACTTCAGTAACTTTGCTATTTCTCTAGACAGATTTTCCAGCATTTGTTCTGAGGAATTATTGGAAGTGAATAGGTTACATCTCACCTTGTTTTTAAACCATTTAGCTAAAAAAAAAAAAAAAAAATACTTCTTTTTTGTTTGTTTGTTTTGGGTGTTTTGTTTCTGTTTGTGTTTGTTTGCTTTGAGGAGGAGAGCAAGGGAAGGACAGAGAGAGAGGAAGAGAGAGAATCTTAAAACCCTGAGGTCATGACTTGAGCCAGAATCAAGAGTCAGATGCTTAACCACTGAGCCACGCAGGCACCCCCGCTAAAAATACTTCTTGATCAGTAAGGTCACCCAGTGTGGTTTAACAGAAATAGAGCAAATAAAATAAGGGACAGTATCTGTAACAGATCTTGAGACGATAACAGTAATAATTATAAGGATGATAATGATTTCTGCCAATAAAAAAAAAAAAAAGTGCTTACTAGCTGCCAGAAAGTGTGTAGAGCATATTATATGCATTATCTCATGTAATCCTTTCATTTACCTGGGTGATCACTGCTTTCTAATTCAGGATGTTTCAAGTGATCTGAATAATCTAAAACCAACATATTCTCAGACTTAAAGTAAAGCAACCTGTCATGCACATAGCTGAGGATAAAATTCACTGCATTTGTTTTCTTTTTTAATGGTGTCATTTTTGTAAAAATCAGCAATGAGGTTGTGATTAAAAATCAAATAAATAATTGTTTTAATAAAATCTATTGATTAAAACTATTCGGATGGTAGCTTTCAGGCTTAAAACAGCTTCAAGCTTGATTGCTAACTCGCACTAAATAAATAAATAAATAACCAACCAACCAACCAACCAACCATGGGACACGATTTAGCAGCGATTCTCCATTTTTATATTTCAGTGTGCCTTGGAAACTTCGGTTGTAGTGTAGCTGCTGGCTACTCGTTTTTTGGCCTTAATCCGTGGAAGCAGCTGTAGAGCTTGATATCATTGGAACATTGGTATTACATGCCTCTGCTGGATGGACAGGGAAGAGGTCACAGGGTGACATCCAGTGATAAATTAGAAATAGAAGAGAACTTATTCTCTGTACTTAAAAAAAAATAAAAATAAAAAAAGGCAGATCTACAGCACAGTGGAACTTGAAGGTTTCAGTGAAGGAAATGCAACCACCGAGAAGACTAAAGAGCAATCAGATGTCCAGGATTTAGTTTTTGTTTGCCATTTCCTCTTTGAATCCTGTTTCTGTGTTTCTAATACCCCGCAGTCTTCCTTCTGATTATTGCCTGTGAACACTACCCTCAGAGGGCAGCAGTGGGAGGAAAGCATAAATCACACAAACCAGTCTTAATGCTCTGAAGTAACTCTGATTATATAAGTAATAAGAAGTGATGAAATGTCTTTTTCAGACAGACATCTTGTGTTGAATAATAGTGATGCTTGAAATAGATAGTCCTTTGCTCTTACTATTTGAATAATATTAACCATTAAAGTTTACTTATTTGATCCTTATCGCTGTGTGATTTTTTAATCCATGGATTTAAGGGTGAGAGATGTCAAGGATTTGCTGAGGATTTACAGATACGGTTCGTGTTGAAGGAAAACTAGAATACCTTTAAATATTCTCAGAAGCGAACATAGGAAAAGTCAACATCATGCAACTCACAAGCTAATCTGTGCATTCCAAAGAAGATATTCTTTTAAGATTCTTTTCCCTTTGCTTTTTTTTCTCACCCCCCCCCGCCCCCCGCCCCCAACCACCTGCTTAAAACTACTTTGATAGGGCCACCTGCATTATGCTGTGGTCTCCAAGCGTAAGAGCGTGCATAGTGATCATTCAGTCAACAAAAGGATTCTTTATTCCCGAAGTCCCAGGAGCAAACTGCAGTGTGTTGTAGTATGTGGCACACATGTCCCCGGTGCCCGTCAGCCTGAAGTCTACATTGAGATTTTTCTCTGTGTAGGGCATGAATATCCCTATGGAATTAAAATGAGCCATCTTCGGGACACTGTGCTCCTGACACAGGGATCGAAGGACAGCAGCACGCCGTCCGGCCTCCAGGAGTCCTTCCTCATGGAGCAGCTGCCCCGAGAGCTGCAGTGCCAGTTCATCCTGAAGCCCAGCCGCCTGGCCACAGCCCAGCAGCTGAGCGGTGAGTTGCTTCTCCTCCTTCGTGGAGCCTGTTTTGGGCAAAAGTTTTTATTCTTGAAAAAAAGTCAGTACAAAGGCAGAGATCCAAACTTCCAGCCAGATGAGGTATTTTTTTTTCTTTTGAATTTGCTAAGTGTTTTGAAGGGAAAGATGGAGTTTTAGAAGATAATTTTATAAATCAGCAGTAGGCGTGTACTCAGCAGTTAGCAGAACAGGCTGTTCCTTCTGTCTTCACTGTGCTTTTCCCCTTTAACCTTCTGCTCGCTGCAGCGTCAGAGGCACCGGGCAGTGGCTCAGGTCCTCACTGCCTTCTTTGTACTGTAACACATCGCCCTGTGTGGTGCCCCTAACTGGTCACATGATAAGAGGGAGTCCGTCAGTGACGGGGCTCCGGAGACTGTGGATCTTGCTGTAGATAAGTATGTGAAGACTAAGGTCATCTGCATGGGAATCTCTCCCTAGTCTGCTAATCTAATCTGCATTCCCTGTCAACGTAGCCATCTCTTTCACTCACCCCATAATACTTTAGAATGATAAAAGTGATGTTGAACACATGAGGCCCGTTACTTACCCGAAACCATGTTTGAGCTTTAAGCCCTCAGTCTGAAAGCTAGGTTGTATGGGAAATAGAAGAAAATGCATCATACAGAAAGTGTGAGTGGGTGAGCAGAAAGTTGGTGCCGAATTTCTGTAGACACCTTTGTCCCTTTGAACCAGCTGGGGGATCGGGTGAACACGGCGACTCTTCTGTGTGCATTCCCCCACACAGGCACGTGCCCCCTGTCCCTCTGTGGTGGTGACCAACCTCAGACTTTATACTCCACTGAAGCCCTCCATCGGGGGCTGCGCCATCTTGCCAGCACAGCTGTAAAAGCCTAACCTTGCGTGTGCACCGGCCACCTTCCCTCCTAGGATGGTAAATTGAGCTTTGGGGACTCCAAGGCTGTTTCCTCACACCTTTGGGCCATTTTGAAGGGGTATCATAGAGACGTCATAGTTTTCCATCCACTAAAATGTGAGCTCCGTGAAGGCAGGTATTGTGGTCTGTTTTGTTATTCTCAGCACCTGGAACAGTACTTGACATACCTACAAGTAAGTGCTCAATAAATATTTGTTGGTCTTTAAAGATGCAAAAGGAATGTCGCCTCTATAAGCTGAGAAGAATATTTCGCTCTTCTACCTTAATACTCAGGTTTTTCAAAATTATTTCTCTGTGTCCCTTGTCACTTTCATTAATTAGTTTGACCAATAATCAGGAGTCAAAAATCCTAAGGGTTTTACCCAGTTTTGCCAGCGACTTGCTTAATTAAATTGTAGGCACTCTGTGCTTATTAATCCTCTGTTTCTCCTAATTGGAAGTAAGGATAATTGTGGTTACAGCTATAAGAGGATCAGAGATGGAGTAATTATAGACCAATGGTGCCAACAAAGCTGGGCATCAGAATCACCTGTGCAACTAAAAAGTTACAGAGTTACGGTTGTACCAGTTCTGTATTTTTTAACACATAAGATTTAGAGCTACAGCTGCTTTGGAAACCACCAATTTAAATCAGGGTTCAGCAGATTTTTTCCGTAAAGGGCCAGATAGTAAACTTTGCAGGTCAACAAACAAAATTGAGGAAATTATGTAGCTACTCATGTGACAAGAGAGAAAACAAATCGCCACCCATTATTATTGACGATAATTAATATATAGTAATAATTGAGTACAATTTCATGTAATACAGGTCTAGTAATGAGAAGAATTGAATTCTTTTGGAGGAATAACCTTTTGCATAATTGGAGCACCAAGGTCATCATAATTGAATGCAAAATGTTCTGATCTGTAATGAGATTTTATATATTTTATCGTCTTTGAAAATATCTTTTCACATAGGTAGTTCCAAGTACTACTTTCATTCTACTAGCATATAATTTTAGTTGCATATATTCCCCTCTTCGAAGGCATTTGTAGAATTTTGATATTTGTCTTTGAGCATGTCACTGTAGATGAATCACTTCCAATTGAAGATGGGGCAGAAGCTTCTCAATGGCACAGTTAAAGGATCTTGGGAATCTGGAAATTTCCTTTGCACTTGCATTGAGGTTGGTAAAATAGCACTGCAACTGTAGTTGGAGCTCAGAAAATATATCTGTTACCAATGTGTGTGAGAATGGAGATCTTGCTTCTTTAACTTCTGATAGCACAAGAAGGGGAGAAACAGCTTGACGTTACTCGTGATGAAGTGTCAGTTGTTTTCAGAATGACACTTTCAGAAGTTTTATGTCTAAACACGTTTTTGCCTTGTAATTCATTAAGAAACATCATCCAATTTGCAGCAAAAACTAATTTCCAAAGCCAGTCACTACTAGAAAAAATCTTCCCTTTCATAAAAATTTCAATCTCAGCCGTGAGCTCAAATCTCACTATAAAACTTTACCCCTGGTGAGCCATTGAGCTGCTATGTGATAGCACAGGTCAGGCCAGTCAGCTTCTGTTTCTGACAGAAATTCACAGAAATGGCAATGGGTAAGTCCAGGAGAGCGAATGAAGTTTACTGTTGACTCTGCCGGTCCAGTAATCCATGATGGATGCAAATACTTCCCGTGCGGTACTGCTGATGAATTATACGCTGAATACCGCTGGATACTAAACACTTTACATTTTCACAAGCTTTGCAAATTTGTCAAATTACATCTTTTTTCTGGAATCTGAAGATTCCACTTGGGGTTGTACTGAATTATTATTAACTTTTCAAATTCTATGACAGCATTCTTACCTGTAGTTGTTCCTTGCAGACTGTTCAAGGCTGACGCCTCAGTCACTTCAAACGAGGCACTGACTTCTCAAATAAACAGCTGAACAGTATTGGTAACATCTGCCAACTAATCAAGAACCAAGGAAAGTCGCTCAAAATAATTTGCCTTGCTTTTTAGTTTCCTATTAATGTTACTCCGAATGTTCTCAACTATTCAAGCAGCTGTTCTCACCAAAAAGGCTAATATCCTCAAGTGTAGTTTCTGTGTACACATCTCTTTGTCAGCTGCAAGCATACAAAATTTAAGCAGCTGACCTCTGGTAAATGGCCTTACCTGCATCAATGAGCCGCTCAGAAACGGACATTTTTTGGAGCCTCATTTTTGTTTTTTTTTATTTTTGTGAAGAAATTCTGCAATGCTGAGATATTTCATTTAAATATTCCACATTTTTCTACTCATCACTTTCTTCTGAGTTGGGAATATTGTGCTGAGTTTCTAGTGTGATTATGTCAACATATAGTATATTCTTTTACCACAGCTGTTATATCCTTGCATGATTTATTGCAATAACGCAGTCATCCATACTGCTCTGTGCCTTAAAAGCTCAACACTAGACATGACAGGTAATAAAAAATTAAAATTTTACAGTATCATGATACCCAAGGCACTCAAAATATTATCCACATGTAAATGTGTCATTGCAGTTCGTTGTGTTGAGCAGCAGTGCAAAGCATCAGTGACAGCCCCACTGATGGCCTTTGTCACAACTACTAGGCTGCCATTGAGCATGACGTCAAAGCAGCCATGGACAGTACATAAATGAATGAATGTAGCTGTGTTCCAGCAAGAATTTCATATAATTTTTAGGTTTCACTGAATGTTGTTGTTCTTTTGATTTTTTTCAACTTTCAAAAATGTAAAGACCTTGAAAGCTGTCCAGAAAGAGATGTAAGGCCAGATTTGGCCCATGGAACATAGTTTGCTCCCTCAAATGTGGAATTTTGTCAAGTGCGTTTTCCGCATCTACTGAAATGATGATATGACTTTAACTCTTCCTTTTGGTGATGTGGTGTACCACATTGATTGATTTGCCAATGTTGAACCATCCTTGCATCCCTGGAATAAGTCAATAATGGTGTATGATCCTTCTAATGTATTGTTGACTTTGGTTTGCTAATGATATTCTTGAGAATTTTTGCATCATGTTCTTTAAGGATATTGGCCTGCAATTTTATTTTCTTGTGTCTTTGTCTGATTTTGATATCAGAGTAGTGCTGGCCTTACAAAATGAGTTTGACAGTGTCCTTCCTCTTCTATTTTGTGAAAGAGTTTGAGAGGGATTTGTATTCCTCTTTTCATACTTGGTAGAATTCACTAGTTAAGCAGTTTGGTCCTGGACTTTTGTTTGTGGGGAGGATTTTAATTACTGATACTATCACCTTACCAGTAACTGTCTGTTTAGATTTTATTTTTTTTCTTAATGGATTTTATTTTTATTTTTATTTGAGAGAGGGGGAGAGAGCATGTGAGAGTGTGGAAGGGGTAGAAGGGGAGATAGAATCCCAAGTAGGCTCCATGCCCAGTGCAGAGCCCAATACAGGGTCCTATCCCACAACTGTGAAATCATGACCTGAGCCAAAATCAAGAGTCGGATGCTCAACTGACTGAGCCACCCAGGCTCCCCTGGTCTGTTTAGATTTTCTGTTTCTTCCATTATTCAGGCTTGTAAGGTTGTATGTTTCTAGGATTTTATACATTTCTCCTAGGTTTTCCAATTTGTTGGTATGTAATTGTTCACAGTAGTCTCTCATGATCATTTGTATTTTTGTAATATCAGCTGTAAGCCTCCTATTTCATTTCCGATTTTATTTATTTGAGCCTTCTCTTTTTCTTGGTGAGCTAGCTTAAGATTTGTCAATTTTCTTTATCTTTTCAAAGAAGCAGCTCCTGGTTTCAATGATTTTTCTCTTGTCATTTTAGTCTTTGTTTCATTTATTGCTCCTCTGATCTTTGTTATTGCCTTTCTTCTGATAACTTTGGGCTTTGGTTGTTCTCCTTTTTCTAGTTCCTTGAGGTGTAAGGTTAGGTGGTTTATTTTAGATTTTCCTGTTTCTTGGCATAGGCATTTATTTCTACTAATTTCCCTCTTAGAACTGCTTTTGCTGCATCCCGTAAGTTTTGGTATGTGTTTTTTTTTGTTTTTTTTTTTTTTGACCCATGTTTTTCAGTAATTTTCAGTTTGTTTAATCTTCATGCATTTGA